TCAGAGCACAGAACCCCCACGAGTGACGGGAGAAAACAAAATATGGTCACTTGGTCGTCTTCTGACCGTCAGTAAAGCTCTTACCTAAAATGGGTCGTCCGTTTGGCTGTACGGGATGTACAAGTACACAGCCAGAATGGGGACGTTAAATCTGCTGTCTCGTGTTAATAGAGTACCACTCTCCCTGCATGTTAAGAACCCTTGCAGCAACTCTTTGAGGGGTCCGTAGGTGGCTTGTTTCAAATTTCTCTCCCTATCCAATATATCTTCTATTTACAGTGGCAGTCCTAATTTCCCCGACCTTTATAGCGGATGGCCTCTATAACAGGATCTACCTATTGTATTTATTGTTAATTTGTTCTAGTCCTGAACATACATGAAATATATCAATCAGACCACAGAACACCCTTAAACAAAACAGGTTGTCTGTTACGTCTACCCTACCTTCAAAATACATAACTTAACCCCAGTGACAAACTATAGTGGAGTGACATTAACCATAACATTTCATTTTAATGCACGTACCTAACACACGCCTATATTATGTATCATTCGAGAGCTTATTATCTGTACTTGTTTTGCCCGGTCGTAAAACAATCGACGTACGGTGCAATTTCCTTCAATTCAGGTCAAAGGTCAAGGACAGTTTTCAAGATGTCAGCATTATTGCATTTTATGTCATCTGATTAATAAAATAATGTAAAAAAATAACAACGTTTAGAAGAGAGATTAACAGTCATGTATAAAAAGCACTTTAATAATATTATTAGCTTTTTTTTTATAAACAGCACCTTTTTCCAGAAATTTCAATTATAATGATTAAAATGAGTGAAAACTTAAATATATTTGTTGTAACTATTTAGTGCTAAGGAAGTCATCAATTTACTACAATAATGGTTAATGGTAGTTAAACTGCCAATCAAAACAACTCACGGCCGAGATGACAAATGTAAAACAATTCAAACGAGAAAATAAAAACTTTGTTTTAATTTTTTGTTTTTTGAAATGTTGATGAGAAATCTGCTTTTTGATATTTTGAAAAAACGGTGAACTTTTAGGATGTTATTTTCCTTAGAAACTGACCAAAATGTTAAACTATTTTGAAGGACAAGTTTCTTTTTTTCTGATTTTGGCGGCTTTCGATAGGTACTGGAGTTGAATTGCATTCACGATCCGATACCAGATCCTTCAAAAGGTACCAAAGCCATCACACAGTACACCAGCAGCAATACACGATCCAATCGCAATACTTGACAATTACTACTTATTCTTTAACGATCCGGTATTTTTCTCGATATACCGAATCACAACTGTGACACTCTCCTAAAAATAAAATTGTTGCTCCATAACCAGTCAGATTAAGAGTTATCTTAAAATCAATACATATGTATTTATTTTAAAAGTATTACTCTTTCTAAATATTTGCCACTGGATACAAGCAAACAAACAATTAATCAATCATCAAGAAAACTGTACCAGAAGCTTGTTATACATTTATGCTTGCATTTTGGAGACATTGTTAATCTTTATGTTGCATATTAATAACCCCCAAAAAGAATGAAAAACTGTATGCAGACTGATCTATAAAATCGCTTTTACTGTTTTGTTTAAATTATGTCATGTATAAAATCTGTCAAATAATAATAAATAATAATAATAAAAATTTATAAAGCGCCCTATATAAAAAAAAATTACTCTAAGGCGCTGTACATTGAACATGGTAATGAAAACAAATCAATGACAAAAACATAAAACATACATTGTGTCAGATTCAAATACTGAAAAATAAACAAAATACAACAAAAATGCCTACCATAAAATAAAAAGTCAATACGCAAATACATGTTACAACAAAAAATTTAAAAATTAGCAATATAGGCTAAAAGCATGCAAAACAAGCATAAAATCTAAAAAGAAATACAAAAAACTTGCATTAAAAGTTGATACAAAACAAGTAAAACCCGTTACAATATGTATAAGGACGATATAGAAGTTTTTCCTTATTTATACTGTAAAAAGGAACGAAGGCCACTTTACCACTGGGGACTTAGACTTTTGGCATGGATTTCGCGAGTTTTGTTATGTTTGTAATTGCTAGTTCATGTCAAGAGCGGCCCCAGTGGCATAGGAGCCTCCAATAGAATGTGTGTATGAACGGTTTAAATACGTGACGGAAATTCCAGGTATCATACTTTCACTTTGATATATTTAAATACCAAAATATAATCCCTGGTAATAAACGAAAATAAACACAAAAGACTAATAGAAAATAAGCTTGGTAAGATAGATACTTGCTATTTTAAAGAAACAGTTGATTAGAATTTATACTGTTTGGACAACATAAAATGTAATAAGACAACTGAGAGATTACTTAAATGCATGGGAAGCAACCTACTCATTTATACCTAGCAAAGCATGCAAAGTAAAATGTTTGTAATCTATTTTAATGTACGTGCCCATTAACTTCTGTTATACGAGCAATTATGTTATTAAAATCTCCGAAAAAAAAATTTCGAGAGTATATAGTTGTCGGCTTTGTACGTTCGTCTGTTTGTCCGAAACCACAGGCGCTTTGGGAATGGACCTCCTTTTTCTATACATTTTTGTTTTGTATTTTATCTTATTTTTTAGTAAATATTATTTTCGCCTATTAATTGTGTTCTTGCTCTTATCCATACGATATTACAAAAAAACCAAACGTTTTTTTTTTATATATGATGCAAGTAGTATACAGCAGGACGTTTTAACCCCGAGATAAAATACCGTTACTATGGTTACGCAACCAGATGTAATCGGATGCTGTGTTACATAACGAAAATAAACATTCTTACTATTATGCCAAGAGGGATAATTCATAAATATGAAATTATCCAATGATGTATAATACACCCATGACTACATGAAAAAAAGAGTACTTAAATAAATAAGATAACATCTCTCATGCAACTAAGTGATAAAAAATAAAACAAATAATGACTACTTAAATAACGATGAACAAATGGTATTAATTAGGTACCTGGTGACAACTTCATGATCCTTTGTGATATGTTTTATATTGGACTATATATGTCCAAACGTTATTCATTGCAACAGGTTAATGATGACAATTTTATGACCCTTTCCGTGTAATACCTACCTTTCGACCCAGTTATTAAAGATAATGATTTAATAAAGTAAATAAAAAAATAAAGAATGTTTTTTTCAGTCTATCTGTTATGACATTCATTGTGTCAATATCGATTCGGGAATTTAATAGAGTATGCTAATGCCCTTAAGCAACTGTGTTACAGGATGTAACTTAAACCAAAAAAATAGAAATACATAAAATGTAAGAGGACACTGAATAACTTCTAGAATATTAGACTATAGAAAAGATTCCCTTAGAATTTCTTTTTATTATTTAATCATTTCCAAATATTCCGGAAATTGTACCCGTTGTTAATTTTCATTTGTTGTGGCCTAATTATATATAAACAACATATCCAACTAAGTCAGACATCACGTGACTTTTGTGACGTATACTAGCCGCCATTTTGTATTATATTGCCCCATATAAAATGCATAGGTGCTTCAATAAAGTTGAGTTTTCTCATGAACCTGACCCGTTTTCTAACTTTTGCAAATCAATCCTTGATGTTCAAACATATTTCTATCAAACAATGTTGGTCCTAACAGTTTAATTTTTGATTAAATTCTGTCACTGGAGAATCGTAAAAACATGTACTTTTTCTCGTTATTTCTCCGTTGACTCAATGCTAAATTACCGATACCCATGTCTACTTGTATAACAAATAAAGAAATTCCGTTAATAAAAATAAAACTTTGCAACTCGATTAAGTATATTCAAACATATATCTGGCGAAAAATACTATTTAAAACAGTTTAATTTCTGGGCAATTTCGGTCAAAAATCGATTTAAAAAAGTGAATATTTCGGGATTTTTCAAAATGGCGGATGATGTATATGGAAATGTTGCATCAAATCGAGGATTTGTATAGTAAGACTTTCCTTGATTTAATTTAATTTTCATGTAGAATCTCTGATGTTTCTGTTATTTTCTTTGGTGATATTTCGATATGATTGATTTCAAAATTTATTGATTAAAAAAATATTATTTTAAGTGTGACACGGGAAAATTTTATTTTGACAGATATCCAGGATATACTGTTACCAGAAAATAGTTAACAATAAAATTTATAATAAAATTTTTTCTCTTCTTTTTTTAAAAGGTTTTTTTCCTGTTTTCTGTATAATTTATCTTTCTTTAGAAATATATTTATACATTCCTTTTAGAACAAAAAAATATTTACGTCCCAAGAGAGAAAAAAATCCCAACAATTATTATAGATAAATATTCCATACCTTCAAAATCCCATCACTTGACGAACAGGTGAACTCTGACTTTGGATGTAATGTTACATAACAATATATTGTCAGGTAGACGTGCAAACCAAAAGCAACCAGGTGACATTAAACATCCTGTGTATACATGTATTACCAGAGTTTAAATTTTGTGATATACAAAAGTTTTCATAACTGTACAAATAAATATCTTCTCTTCCCCGTGTCAAACCAGAAGAAGTATGTATCATAATAAACTTAAAGAAAATATGAATATTTTAAAAAAAATCTTTAAAAAAATAATTTTTGCTTTAAAAGATAATCAAACTAATATTTATGTTTCTATAATTATTTTAAAGAAATATTTTGATTCAAATTTTAATTTAAATGGATTTTGTATTATTTCGTAAAAAATTAAACGAGATTTCATTGAATATGATTTTATTATTTATTTTTTTAATTCAATATTTTAAGCAAAATCCAGGCATTCAATAAATCGATATAAAGTTAAACTTGTGTAAAAAAATTTGTTATTGTATACATTTCAACAGAGACATATAATACAATTGCTCTGATTTCAACAACATTGTATACCCGACAATATTTATCGATAGAGTTATCGGTCCTGAATAGGACTGATATAGTTGGGTATGAAGTGAAAGTAAATATTTACCTTAGGGATTTATGGAAATACCACAAAGAAATGGAGAGATCACTAAGTGATTTACGCGAAAGAATCAAATTGCTGCTGCCAGAGTTTCTAAAATTTCTAAAGCCAACTGTTGTACTTTTTGAAATACAGGGCTTGTCAGGTACCATTAACCACCATCCTTATATGAGCGTAGGAATGCCCTTTATCGTCAAGCGTCAAACGTCCTTTTTTCGCTAACGTTAACGTAAAATGAGCCTTAATTTTTTTATCGTCATTCGTCAAATCTTAATCTGTAGCTACCGTTAGCGTCAAATGGGGTAAAATGTTTATCGTTAACGTTATTTTAACAACTATTTTACCGTCATTCGTCATGTGGGGTATCCCATTCCCACCCTCTTATGTGTCATGTATGTAAACCAAATATCATTTATTATTAGGACTAGTACCATACAAATCAAAGTTACTTTTCAGATAGAAAGAAGTAAAATCACAAAAAAACTGAACTCCGAGGAAAATTCAATCGGAAAGTCCCTAATCACATGCAAAATCAAATGACAAAACACATCAAACGAATGGACAACAACTGTCATATTCCTGACTTGGTACAGGCATTTTCAAATGTAGAAAATGGTGGATTGAACCTGGTTTTATAGCGCTAAACCTCTCACTTGTACGACAGTCTTATCAAATTCCGTTATATTTACAACGATGCGTGAACAAAACAGACATTATAAATAAAATAGTCAAAATATGGGTACAGCAGTCATCACTGTGTTACAATATCAAAACAAACAATTATTTACAAAAAAGCACAAAAGCATCTATCAAATTAAAAACCACATTCATTGCTTCGCGTGTCTGACGTCAGAAAATGTAAACGTCACATAAGAAAAAAGTTTGTCATTCAATGTTTATTCAAAACAATTTTATAATTTCACATGGGGAATGTTGGTATACAGGGTTAAAAAATCAAAAGTTATGTTAGAATTAATTTCAGAAATAGACCGAGATTTAAAATTGTCCAGAAGTTCTTTAGAATTTTAAAGAACCCACATATGGTAAAGATAGACCCATTCCAGGGTCGTCAAGTTTATCGGGCATAAACCATTTCATAGCATGATTTTTTCAATATTTTTTTATTTTGATGTTGGTGTTGGGGAGGGGGGTTGATTTGTATTAAGGTGAACATTTTTTTGCTTCTCGCTCACATTAGGAAAATAGCATTATTTTGAAGTGCGATTTTTCAGGTTACCAAATCGAACATCTTAATTTACCATCATGACCTCAATTTTAGGCTCGCTTTTCATCAATATAAACCCTTTGAGGCATTGGTATGAAGAAAAGAAAATATCATATTCAATTGAGACTACTATTTTAAAAAAAATCCCAAAGGAAATGGATGGAGAAAAATACAGGTCAACATAGATTATACTTTTAGTATTTTTCTCCATTCATTTCCATTTGGTATTTTTTAAGAGAGTTGTCTCATTCGAATTATCCCACATCTCCCGATCTTTATACCAATGGCTATACCTTAATCCATATTAATGAGTTCACAAGAGGCAACATGAAATTATAACAATAAACAAACAATAAAAAAAATGCAAAAGAACTATTGAACAATTATACCGAGGGAAAGAATTACTTGATTGATAGAATATAAATGACAGTTAAAAAAATTTTTTTTAAGAAAAACTTCATACACGTATATTAAGTTTTACAGCTAACTGTGTAACCTTCTTTATGAAATTTTTATTTTTATTCCTATATAAACTACACAAAATTTGTATTACATATTTACATTTGTAAATAACTAAATATTCACATTTATGAATATGAATAAGTGTTATGTATTTACTATTCATTCATTCATACAGCAATTACCACATTTTATCAAGAAAACAAAACATGTAGTATTCATCAACTTTTCAATCCACCATCATTTTGATGCGATTTCTTGGGGATAAGTTTAGTACTGCATTAATGGGGAATGATATATTGGAAATTTTTTTGTAAATTTTTTTGAAGAACTTCGTGGTAGGTTTGTTTGTTATTCTATCTCAATTAATTTTCAGAATGCTATATATATATTGTTGTAGCGAACCCCTTAAAAAAATTGAATACATGGGGCTCTTTGATATGCTGAATCTAACCTTGTATTAAGTTTTTGGATTTATGGCTCTGTTATCAGATTGGTCCACATTGAGGTCCAAAGGGTCCCACATTAAACTTGGTTTGATTTCATTAAAAATTTAATTCTTGGGGTTTTATGATATGCTGAATTTAATCGGGTATTTAGATTTTGGATATTGGACCATAATAAGTAAAAGTCCAATTTCATTTTTTTTCAGTTCTTTGACCACATTTATTCTGTGTCAGAAACCTATGATGTGTCAAATATTTAATCACAATCTAAATTAAGAGCTGTATCAAGCTTGAATGTAGTGTGCATACTTGCCCCAACTGTTCATGGTTCGACCTCTGTGGTCATATCAAGCTGCGCCACAGCATATTTATGCATTCTACATGTGTCATAACACCAATTAACCCACTAACAATTAGAACATGTCAAAGTAGCCCTACTCTGACAAAATTAGTCCTTTTGATGTTATTGTTTACTTAAAATAGCAAATGAATTTACAAAGAAACTTTTCTGAATGTGAAATATATTTTATAATATATAATTAAGAATTTCAGAAAACAAGGGTGATGTTTTAAGTTGTTGGGGACTTTCGGAACATAATTTAGGATATACATGGTTTTCATAAATTTGAACATAGAGAGCTCTAAAAATTGAAAAAAATAGATGAATATATAAGGATTTTGAATGTAGTGTGACACCGAAATCGGAGAAGAATTCCAGTTAAGGACTTTATATTTGGTGAAAGATCCATCGAAAAATCATTTAAACTCTGACGAACAGGTTTAAGCTTCCAGCTGCAGTCAAATACAATCCTGATTGACTTATTTGACGTCTCACCACACATGATTGTAAGGTATGTAGTGAACCTTTGTGTTAAGTGATATTTCAACCCTCTCAATAAATCAATGTTTTTCTTCTTTTTTATTTTATAATTTGTCCGTATTTCTGCAAAAGTGTAGCTTCACAATTATTATTCTAAGAATCTTAATGAGATTTTCCTTTGTCTGTTGTGCAATACTTTTATTGTCTATTTAAGTAGGGTGTTCCTCCTTCCAATGTAGCTTAGCAACAGATCTGTTTCCATGGTAACTAACATAATTCTTTCCGTATACGTCTTGCATTTTTCGTTTTGTTGACAGTGTTCTCCTTACCAGAAGCTTCAACTTCCCAAAATTTCTCCAAATTATTCTTTTCGTCTTTGTAACTAAATAATACTTTCATCTATACTCAAAATATACAGTGCATCCTTTATAGAGGTCTGATTGAAGATATCCTATTTTATTTTATTGTTATTCTGTGGTTTACATGTTGTAATGTACTATTATATTATTTATTTATGTATTTCTCTGTCCTGAGTGATCTTGTGTTTATTTGTACTGTTCCTTTCACGTAATGTTGTCATTTTAGCGGTATTTTTAACATTGCCATATAAGCGGGAGGTTTGGCTAGCCATAAAACCAGGTTCAACCCACCATTTATTTCTTTAAATGTCCTGTACCAAGTCAGGATTATGGCAGTTGTTATCAAAAAGTCCGTTTCTATGTATGTTGGCGTTTGTTTTTGTTGCAGTTCAGTGTTTCTGTTGTTCCGTTGTTTCCCTCTTATAGTTGATGTGTTTCCCTTGGTTTAGGTTTGTGACCCGGATTCGTTTTCGCTTAATCGATTTATGACAATTGAACAGCGGTATATTACTGTTGCCTTTATTAGATTTGACTCCAGTTCTCTCCACATACTAATAAATCATCGACTATCCACCAGTAATAATCAACTCCAAAACTTGAAACATAGGGTCATGCAAGATTTGGTGGGCTAACTTCAAGCCATACATAACTTGCGTACACACAGCTATTTATGATACAATCAAAACGTTAATTGGTAATTTTCCAGAATCTTTAAGTAAGTAAATGGTACTAATCATGCTAGAGTTGAGATGTCAGACTTTTCTACTGTTTTTCTGTATTCCCAAACTCGACAATCTCACTGTCTTCTTTCCATTAATGACAAAATTCAGTCCTGTAGCTAGTTTTTTTTCTGGGATGAAGGTGATGCCCGAGTCAGTTAAAACCTAAACAATCTGTTTAACAATTGCATCCTTACTTTGTGTTCAATAATTTTGCTACAGTTAACGGCAGTGCGGCTTCGTGACAAAATACGACTTAACGTTCATTTGTCTGCTAGTTGACTTGTTTTGTGCGTACATTGGCATTTGTATGAAATGCTGCAGTAGCAGTAGGATTTTCCGTGATATCAGCAGGATTACCTTCCACAATAATGTTAATTTCATAAAATTTTACTTGGCGTAGTTCAGTTTATTGCCAACTGGTTGAACCTTGTTATCTTGTCAGCTTTATGCGGACCTCTCTTGGTAACCTTTTCAGTATGGTAGGGACTAGTAATGAGCCATAAGTATCCTCTGTCTTACCAATGTATTAAAATCCATTTACACAGGTTTCAATATAGTCATGACAATTCTGTAAGCTCTGTAAGATGTATTCTGGTGACAGTATAACTATTATAGCATTCATGTTCTTGTGTATGATTTTGTGAACTTGTCCATACCTTTGTTGTAGCAACAAAACTGTTCTTTCGTAATTTAAGTTTGTCAGTGTAACAATGACTTCAAATAATTCAGTATTGGGTTTGTATGAACGGCTGTTTCATACGAGTCTCCGAAGGACTGCCATTGTAGAATGTCAATATCGAAAGTTGGTAGATTAAGATTATGCAGCTTGTTTAACCCGCTGGCAACTGAAGAATATGAGCTAAATCTGAACGAAAATTTGTGTAGTGCTGATTTTCTGCGCTTCAATGATAACTAGGATCCGGATAAGGCGGAACGTCACAAATATAATTTGTAAAACTTGTGTCGTTTGTATTCAGCGTTGAGTTTTCTACTGTGATAAATTTGGCTATTTGACATACTTTGTCTCTTAATTAAATGAAAACTCGCCTGAGCCAACAACATCTGTCTCAATATCCTGTTGGTCCAAATGCTGAATAATCTCTTCATCTAATTT